GGTGAGTCCCAGCGCGAAGCTCGCCTGGCGGAACGGGCCGGCCGCTCAGCGCCCCCCAAAAATGGCCAGCGAAGCGGGGGGGGTGGCATGGAGGAGAGGAGGGAGGGAGCCTCTCGGCATCGTCGGTTCTGTCCAGCGAGATGGGACGTCCCTGGCCATGGGGCTCAAGGGAGCGCCTGAGTCCAGGAGGATCTCCGCTTCTGCTGAGAGGATAAATGCCCGAGTTGTTCCTTCGTGGCCCCGGCTGGCCTTCGCATGGCGGCATCTTCATCATCTCGGAACTGCCAAGCTGGACGGGGGCTGTCCGGGTCATCGGATCCAGCCCCTTGCCAAGGAGGCCTGGCGGGGAATCGAACTCCCAACCCTCTGGTTCTTAGTGCTGGGTTATCTGGCAGCTCTAGAACTGGGCAGCTGCTGTCGCCGGGGCCTCCTTAGCACCTCCCTCCTGCCCCACTGGGTCTAAGCAGTGGGGCAGGGACCATGGGGGAAGGCGAGAGGAGTTTCCCGAAACTAAATGCCATCGTCTGGACCTCTCATGGGGACGTAGTATAAAGGGATGACCTGAGAAAGAAACGCGGGTGTGTATTCGGTAGTTTGACTTCAGAAAGGCGGGAATAGTAAGGCTGTGTGTATATGTGTGTGTGTGTGAGAGAGAGAGAGAGAGAGAGAGAGATTTGAAGATTGCCTTTTCACCTTAACTCTGCCCTTTCTAGGGAGAAACGGGTGCCCTGGGCCCCCCTGGCAAGACGGGAGCAGTGGGGCCTCAGGGACCTCCAGGGAAACCCGGAACGGACGGGCTGAGGGGACTCCCTGGATCCGTGGTGAGGAAAAGGAGCTTGGACTCCCTGAGGGGGGGCGGTGTCTCTGGGCTGGGTGCTGGGGAGCGGGGGAGAGGGAGGAAAGGGGTGCTGGGTGGCGAGGTGGGTACACCCTTTGGGGACCCCTTCTTGGGGATGAAAATGGGACGAGGCTGTAAATCTCCTCTGGGCTGGAGTTTGGGGTGACACGGGGAGAGAAGGCGGTGGTCCATCCCGGTTTTCTTACGAGTCTCTGATCTTCCTCCTCTAGGGCGCCCAAGGCAAACCAGGGCCCACCGGCCAGGCTGGACCTCCAGGACCCATAGTGAGTGGCCCGTGTTTCCTCTGAGGTGGGGAGGACCTGGGGAGACGAGAGGGGGGGGCAGTGAGGCTGGGAAGGTGGCGGCCATTGCTCCTGGGGAGACCTAAGCTCACCCTGGTTTGTCTCTTTTTCATGTAGGGCCCCCCAGGGTTGCCTGGATTGAAAGGCGACACCGGAGCCAAAGGAGAGAAGGTACGGAGGGGAAACCCCGTCCTCCGTCGGGCAGCTTCACAGAGAACCACGTCCCTGGGTCGCCACAGGCGAGCAGACGTGCTGTGCAGGCGAGCCGCTGGGCAGGCGGAGTTGGTTTCCATAGCGGCTGCGGTCCAGTGGTTTGCAAACAGGTCCCTCTGGCATAACGCACGGCGTGACCCATAACTGGAGTGGCTGTGTTATCGTTTTCCTGTACTCTGATAACAAAAAAATCAGTTGCCCTGCAAGTTACTTTCAAGCCTTGCAGGGAAATAGTCTCTAGTTCCCCCTAGTGGCCAGATCTGATATTGCCTCTTGGAAATGCATCCAAATAGGGTCACGCAGAAGAACCCCAACTGCTCTGTGTCTGAAGGATGAACACAGAGTGGGTTGATCCACCCTATATAGAGGACTCTGTGACCCTTTTGTGACCCCCCCCGGGTCTGTGAGATTATCTGTGCATCTCTGAAAACCATTCTGTGCAGGTGGTGGTGGTGGGTTTGCAAGTGCCGATCAATAGGGTGAGGTGGGGGGGGGAGAACTGTGCCATGTCCTACCTAATAAAAGCCCATACACAGGAATCAAACTTCCATACCTCCCCCCCCCTCAACAGTGTAGCAACGCTTCAGTAAAGTTTAGTAAACAAAGCCGAGTCAGGGAATGTAGGGGGAAAAAAAAGAATTCTGAAAGGCAGAAGCAAAGAGGCAGGACAAGGGAGGAGCTGGAAAGAGCAATACATCGAGCGCATCGTACAACTAGAGAGTCAGAAGGGAGACCCCCTCGAGGTCATCTAGTCCAGCCATCTGCCAAGCGGGGGACCTCCACAGCTCACCTATCCAGAGCAGGATGGGACTCAGATCAGGCCGATAATGGGGCAGAATCCTGATCTGAGGCTCAGCGCCACCTGGACATCCTCCCTCCTCCTCCCCCCGGCTCCTCACAGTCCGGACACAGCCATGGTTTCCCATCTGGGCTGAGGGTCTCCCAGTCCCCCTCTCAGCCTCTGAGAGGTGAGGACCACCGGAGGGTCCCGGAGGACACGATGCCTGTCCTTTACACTCAAAATTTAGATTGGGGGGGGGGATTCCCTCCTAAAAGAAAAACAAAATCACCCATACGCACACACAAATGAAGTCATCTCAGCAGGTGGACCAGACTCCGCATGTGAAATGGCTGAGGCTCTCCCAGTCCCCCTCTCAGCCTCGGAGAGGTGAGGACCACCGGAGGGTCCCGGAGGACACGATGCCTGTCCTTTACACTCAAAATTTAGATTGGGGGGGGGGATTCCCTCCTAAAAGAAAAACAAAATCACCCATACGCACACACAAATGAAGTCATCTCAGCAGGTGGACCAGACTCCGCATGTGAAATGAAATGGACCTGACCCAAAACAGCTGGGGTGGGGTGGGATGGGATGGGGGGGTGAGGTCCGAAGTCCCTCCATCGCTCCCAGCTTCCAGACTGGCGGGTGGTCTTTCCAGTCCAGCTCTGGTAACCCCCCCAACCCCTCTCTTCTCTTCCACCCCTTCTCCCTGCCCCACAGGGCCACCCGGGTCTCATCGGCCTGATCGGACCCCCCGGGGAGCAAGGGGAGAAAGGGGACCGGGGCCTGCCTGGCCCTCAAGGCAACAAGGGACCGAAAGGAGACACCGTAAGTGCCGAGGGAGGCCCGTCCGGGGGGGGGTGTCTGGCGGTGGGGCAGAAACGGGGTGTGTGTGTGTGCGGGTTCTGGAAGACAGAACCCATGAAGAGGGGCCCCACAGCTCAGCCATTGTGTGTGTGTGTGTGTGTGTGTGGGTTCTGGTAGGCGGAACGGATTGGGAGCCCATGAAGAGGGGCCCCACGGCTCAGCCATGGAGTGTGTGTGCGTGTGTGGGGGGGAATCAGGACTGGGGTGTGCGTGATCTCCGTGGCCCTCGTGATGGCCAGGGAAGAAGGGCTGGGGGGGGTCAGGGGCGTTGCTTCCTAGGGTCTGTCAGATGATGCTCATTTTTCTGAATCCTTTTTCTCTTTCTCCCCCCCCACCCCGCATCTAGGGCATCCCTGGTCCGTCCGGCCCCATTGGCCCCGCAGGGCAACCCGGACTTCCTGTGAGTAGCCCCCGTCTCTCTCCTTTCTCTCTCCCCCCCTGACATCCCACCCCTCCACTGCAGCTCCCTTTTGGGGTGACTCCCCCTGACCTCTTGTCTTCTTCCTTCCTCAGGGCCCCCCTGGACCCCAAGGCCCGAAAGGAGCCACGGTAAGGTTGCTTGCCCCCCCCCAAGAGACCTGTGTCCTTCCTGGGGAGGCTGAGGAGAGGGCCGGGGTCTCCTCTTTTGGCCCCTCCCAGCAGCTCTAAAGGTGTGGGGGCCTCTATTTTTAGGGTCAAGCCGGACCGAAGGGTCAGCGTGGAGCGCCTGGAGCCCCCGGGATGCCGGTAAGAGCCCCCCCCTTAGCCTCATAGATCAGCCTTCTCTTCTCCATTCTCCTCCTTGTGCCGAAAGAGATCAGGTGGGGGGAGAGGAATAATTTGATTGGAATTCCTTAGAAATATGTGGGTCTCACTTCAGTGAGATCCTCCCATTGAGGGTACAAAGCGGTTCTCCTCTCCCTGAGAAGACGGAGGGTTTCAAAGTTCTCAGAAATAGCCACGTATGTACAGTTTTGCTAAAGGGGCCGCAGTTCTGGGCAATGAATTCGGTTTACCGTAATTAATTAACTGGTTTAAATAATATGTGGTTTTCCTGCTCTTACATTCTCACATGACCGGCTTTTTAAAACATGTGTGACTTAGACGTTCAACAAAAGCTGTTGTTTACCTTTCAGAAATAATCCAGATCACACCCGTGCTGATTCTTCTAATATTTTTATTACTCTCACAGTTACATCCCTTTTTTGCCAGTTGAAGGAGCACTCCTTCTAGAAACAGATTTCTCTGAACATATGGGTTTTTTTTTTACTCCAGGATTCCTTTCCCCATCATTTTTATCCGCTATATCTGTGACAGCTTCTCTGAACATATGGGTTTTTTTTTTTTGACTCCAGGATTCCTTTCCTCATCATTTTTATCCGCTATATCTGTGACAGAGAGGAAGAGAACGTAAATTTAAATTGCTGCACTCAAATACAGGCCAACACTCTTGTGCGAGTGGACCGTTCAGGTCAGACAATGAGTGTGTTGAACCTGATGCCCTGACTGGCAGTCACTGCACCAGGATTCAGGCAGATGTTTCTTATCCAGAGTAGCCTTGGCAGCCAGATGGGCAGTATAAAACTCAAATCAAATCAAATCAAATCAATCAATCAATCAGTCTCTGAGACACGCCCCCCCTTTAAATCAGACACAACAGGAGGGCTTGAACATGGGGAACTGAGCAGAGCTCTCTTGTAGCACAGAGGGTCCGAATGGCACCTGGCTCTCTCTCTCTCTCCGTCTCTCTGCCCGTCTCATGCCCCCTCTGCTCCCCGCTTCTCCCAGGGCCCTCCGGGCGAAGTGATCCAGCCGCTGCCCATCCAGAGGCCGAAGAAGAACAAGCGCTCGGTTAACGTAGACGGCAGCCAAATCATGCCGGAGGAGGAAAAGGAGGAGAGGATGGCCTCGGACACGGCCGGCCACCCGCCGCACTCCGGGGGCATGGAAGAGATCTACGGTTCGCTCAACTCCCTCCGGCAGGAGATCGAGCACATGAGGAAACCTCTGGGCACCCAGGACAGCCCCGGGCGCACCTGCCAGGACTTGCAGCTCTGCCATCCTGAGTGGCCGGACGGTGCGTGGGTGTGTGAGCGGGGGATGGGTGGGCGGGTTGATCCGGTCGTCTTTTCCGATCCATGCCCCCACCAGGAAGGAGGTTCACCCAGACGCCTCCATCCTCACTCTGTCCAGAAGGCCATGGGAAAGAACAGGGGTCAGATAGGAACGGGCCTTGGAGAACAAAAAGAGATAACTCACATCAGTGAGCCAAGCTGTATTTCTGCCTCGGGATTAATAGAAGCCAGAATTTCTGGCTTTTTTTTTCGTTACAAGGGGAAAATGCATCTAGGTTGCGGATGTGATTTGGAACACACTTCCATTGCAGGGAGAGGGGTATAGAAAGGGGCGAATCCTTTCCCTCTCCTTTTCTTTTCTCTTTTTTGGGGGGGTAAAGTGGGGGGAGCAGGGCACAAAGCAGATGTGGCTGTGACAAAGGAAGGGGACTTTGCCATTGTGTCGCCTTAAAAATATGAAAGCCAGACCAGAGAAGGACCTCTTTTAGTCTTACCTCACTCGGCTTTTCTTGTGTGCAAGCCAGAATGTTCTTCTGGGTGTAAAACACTTCCTCAGAAGCGCATCTGTAGAGGGTGTGTCGCGTTTATATCCGTATCGGGTCTTTGCGAAAATATTTGGCACAGTAAAGAGAAGAGAGGGAGAGAGAGAGACCCCCCAGAATATTTGCCAGATTCGGCCAGGCTGATCTTTTTTGGGGGGCAGAAATTAAGTTCCAGTGGCAAATGATATGTGGTGCCCGAGGTTTTGTGTGTGTGTGTGTGTGTGTGTGTGTGTGTGTGTGTGAGAGAGAGAGAGAGAGAGAGAGAGAGAGAGAGAGAGAGAGAGACTCTGCTCTGGGTTGGACCTGCGAGCAATGCGGAAGTTGGGGGGCAGCCCTTTTGATTTCCCCCCCCCGTGTCCCTCAATCCTGTCTTCCAGGCGAATACTGGATCGATCCCAACCAGGGCTGTGCACGGGATTCCTTCAAGGTCTACTGCAACTTCACGGCCGGAGGCGAGACGTGCGTCTTCCCCAGCAAAGAGACCCGAGAGGTAAGAAGCAGCTGAGCGGGAGGGAGAGATAGTGGCTTGCAAAGGGAGGAACTACGTGAGCGGGTTCAAGAGGAGGAAGGCCTAAATGTAACATGTTTGCGGGCAATGGTTTCCTCCCTTGAGAGCAACCGATTAAACTTTTTTTTAAAAGTCCCATCTTTTTTTTTTTAGTTTCTAATAAGATAGGACTCTGGGGAAAAAGTGGGGTTTGTGATGGCACAGACATCAGCCAATCTGAGCTATGCACACTTTACAGACCTGTTTGTTTTTTAAACTCTGCATTTAACTCAGGGAGACCAAAGATTTCTTTCAAATAGTGCTTGGCTGTGCTTGTCGAAGCCCCCCCCCCCCCCAAACCCCCCCAAAGAAACAACCTCAAAATAGGAAAA